TGCACCTTGAAGGACGCGTGGACTGGCTGCAACGCGACGACACGAAGAAGCTGAGATCGGGCAACGACAACGCGGGATCTCCGAGAGAGCCGGCGGGTCTGGAGGATCTTGAAGGTGCCGCGGCCGACCCAGAGCGGTCTGGGACGCTCTGAGAGCGTGCTGGAACGCTCTGGACCGACATGTCTTTCTCCTGGGCCTGCCTAAGGTCGGCAAGGACACGCATGGCTCCTACCAGCAGTCGCTGTGGTTGAACACTCACAAGGGCAGCGCCTGGAAATAATTACCTGCTGTGCAAGCGCCCATTGCTGCCGAGGGCGATTTCGTCGCCGCTTGGTAGCCCGGCTTCGCGCATTTCCATTGTAGACGCGCGCAGAAGAGGGGCGGGGAGAGGAAGCTGGGCCTCATGATAATGCGGCGGGGGGGGTCCCAAGGAGGGAGAGAGCGTGATCCACCGCCGCTTTACTGTGGAAAATTGCCAACCTTTTCCTCCTGAGCCCTGGGGTCTCCCCCCCCTCCGAAAATCCCCCCCCCCCCCCCTGCTGACCACCCCCCCCGCGCTCCCCTTCCCCCCCGGCAACCCCCCCCCCCTCCCCTAACACTCCCTTCCCCCCCTCCCCCTCGAAAACCGGGGGGGGTTCACTACCGGGTTTCCGAACCCCTTCGCGCCCCCCCCCCTTCAAGATCCGGGAAAACCGGGGGGTCACTACCGGTTGAACCCCCCCCCCGCCCCCCCCCCCCCCCTGCTCACCGCCGCAAACGACTCCCGGGCAAACGACTCCCGGTCCCCACCACCGTCCGCATCACATCCCCACTGGTGTTCCCAGCACCACTGTCCTCACCACCGCTGTCCCCACTGGTTCCACCACCGCCCCTACTGTCCCCACCAGTGGCCCCACCACTGTCGCACTGTCCCCGCTGTCCCCAGAACTGTTCCCACCACGGTTCCACTCTCCCCACTGTCTCCACGGCCCCAACCACTGCCCGACTATCCCCACTGTCTCCACTATCCCACTGACTCCTCCGCTGTCCCACTGAGCTGTCCCACTGTTCCCGCCACTGTCCCCACTGTCCCCACCACTGTCCCCACTGCACCTCTGTCCCATTGTCCCACCGCCGTCCTCGCCACCGCCTTCACCACTGTCCCTACCACCATTGTACCCTCCACTGTCCCACTGTTTCCACCTCATTCCCATTGTCCCCACACCACTGTCCCCACCACCACCGTCACCACCACTGTCCACTGTCCCCCCCTGTTCCCACCATTGTCCCCACCACTGTCCCCACCACTACCGTCCCCACTACTGTCCCACTCCCCACTGTTCCCACCACTGTTCCCACAACGGTTCCACTCTCCCCACTGTCTCCACGAACACAACCACTGCCTATCCCCACTGTCCCCACTGTCCCACTGACTCCTCCGCTGTCCCACTGAGCTGTCCCA